ATATCTTTCTCCATTTTAGGCCAAACATATTTGCTCTTGATGAGCTTGACTGAAGATCTCACTCCAGGATGAGACATATCGTGAATTTTCTTGAAAATTGAACGTCTTAGATTATTAGGAACATATGGTCGAATCTTGTCTCCTGAAACATCGCAGAATATTTGAGTATTCGAATGCGGAATTTCGATTTTCTTCAAATTCAGAGCGGTTTTTCCATTCAACAATGTTCTTAACTCATCATCATCTGATTGTTCCTTCTCCCAGTCAGTGAAATCTTGGAAACTAATACTGGATATACGTGATAAAGCATCTGCTACCACGTTATCTGAACCAGAAATGTGACGGATATCAGTTGAAAACTGGCCAATGTACTCCAGATACCTGGTCTGTCTGGGAGACAAAGTATCTGAATTTTTGTTGAAGGCAAATGTTATGGGTTTATGGTCGGTGAAAACGACAAATTCTTTCCCTTCTAACATGTAACGAAAATATTTGATTGACTCATATATAGCTAACAATTCTCGATCATAAGTACTGTATTTCCTTTGAGTATTTGTCAGTGTTTTAGAAAAAAATCCTAACGGTTCCCAGGACTGATTTCGTAGCTGATGAATTGCGGCTCCAATTGAAAAATCTGATGCATCAACCATGAGACCCAATGAACTTGTAGGCAAAGGATGAGCTAATAAAGTTGCATTCGATAAAGCAGTCTTCAGTTGGTTGAAAGCATATTCTTGCACAGTAGTCCATTCGAGCTTCTTATTATTGGAAGGATTTCCTTTAAGAAATTCATTGAGGGGAGCTTGTAGGTCAGCTGCTTTAGGAATGGTTGTGCGATAAAAATTTACCATACCAAGAAAACGTCTCAAAGATTTTATATCATTTGGCTTGGCATAGTTTGAAATGGCTTCAATCTTCCTATTAGTTGGTTTTATCCCATGTTTGGAGACATTATAACCAAGAAATTCGATACTCTCTTTGCCAAATTCACTCTTCTCAGGATTGATTACTATGCCATGGTTTTGTAACCTCTCAAATATTATTTTCAGATGTCTCTTATGATCTTCTTCATTTTCTGATGCTATCAGGAAATCATCAATATATGGAAAACAGAACTCGAGGTCTCGTGTTATTTGGTGAACGAATCGTTGGCAACTTTGAGCCGCGTTTCGCAACCCGAAAGGCATATATAGATACTCAAAAAGACCGAATGGAGTGATAATAGCAGTTTTCTTCACGTCTTCAAGAGCCATGGGTATCTGATGAAACGCTTTGACAAGATCTATTTTGGAAAATATTTTCTTGGTGTCTAGATTGAAAGAAAAATCTTTTATATTGGGTAGAGGATATCTATCAGGAACTGTTTTCGAGTTCAACATTCGATAATCTCCACATGGGCGCCAAGTTCCGTTAGCTTTCCTGACCATATGAAGCGGACTTGCCCAAGAACTCTTCGATGGTTGAATTATCCCTTGTTCCAGAAGGTACCCAAATTCTTGTTTCGCTGCAGCTAATTTTTCAGGGTTAAGACGTCGTACTCTGCAATATACAGGAGGACCAGTGGTGATTATTTGATGGGAGATATTGCTAGACTTTGTCGATTTATTTATTGAAGAACTTGTTATTCCAGGAAACTCTGCGAGAATATCGTGATAAGGAGATTCCGCATTAATCGTTCTGATGGTAGGTGTGATGTTATTCATACACAAATCACATGAATTTGATATCTTGGTTTCCTTATCGATGATTTTTCTATTATGCAAATCCACTAAGATGCCATATCGTTCAAGGAAATCAGCTCCTATTATAGGTTTATCGATGTCTGCAATCACGAATGTCCAAAGAAAATGTCTTCTCAAACCTAAGGTTACATTAAGAGTTTGTTCTCCGTAGGTAGATATTTTTGAACCATTTGCTGCATATAATGGTTTATCTGAAGGTTGAACCTTTGTTGATGTTTTCGGTAATACAGATACATCTGCACCGGTATCAATAAGAAATATAATTTTGGTAGCTGGGTCTTTGATAAATAGGCGACAATTTCTGTGGCCAATATCATTCGTCACCATTAATGACTGGCCTGAGAGTTTTCCTTTTGATGCAACATTGAATATTCACAAGGTTCTAGACATTTTGTAGCATTCTCCTTGTATCGGCGATGGTAGTAGCAAATATTTGTTCGTTTTCCATATCTTGATTCTGAACTGCTTCGTGATCTTGACCAATCGCGACGTTGGAAATTTTTTTTATCAAGTGTTCCGTTCAATTTTTCGATGAGAAGATCGATTTTATTCTCGATGGATTGGGATGAGGATTGGGATGGTGGAGAGTTTCTAATAGAATTAACCTGATCTGCGAAATGCGTGCCTTTCATCATACCATCTGCCATGCTGATCAGTTCATCGTCGGATAATTTCTCTTGAAAAGCGCGAATCAGTTGTTCGACAGTTTGTGGAAGTTTTTTGAGCCATGCCAATACGATAAAATGTTTGGTCATTTGACCTGAGGCCAGATCAGTCATCTCTCTGTAGAGTTGGCTTGGTTTTTTATCACCTAGTTCACACTCAGCAAAGAGTTTGATCATCTTTTCTTCTGCAGAAATCTGATACATTTTAATGAGCTGTTGTTTTAACATTTGATATGCATTGGGATCATTTTGAAGTTTGAATAAATTAGAATTTTCCTTGGCTAATGTACAGTCCAACATTGAAATAACTTTACCAAACTTTATCTTCTCCGAATGAACTCCATTAATGTCAAAAACAGTTTCCACCGCATTGAACCAAAGTTCAGGTTCATGTTTCCAAAACACAGGTAGGGTAACTGATTTCGTGCGATTGTATTGTATTTCGAGGTTTTCATTTTGATTTGAAATGTTTGAGGAAGAGGTAGATGGTTGATCAATATTGTCAATTCTTGGCACAGAATTTTCTATGAATGTTTTTATCAAATTTTCCAAATGTTCAAGTTTCTCTGAAAAACGTACACACAAATATTCCAAATTGTTGACTTTCGTTGACAAGAGCGACATTTCACGATCTATATTATCCTTATCATGGTTTGTATTCTGCTCTATTTCTTCGAGTATGTCGGAATAATCGAAATCATTTGGATTCTTCAAATCTGGATACTTTTCTCTTATGAAACCTTCCAGAGTTAGTTTCATATCGGATACCGTTCCACCAGAAGGTAACTTGAAATGTTGCAGTACATTGAGCAGTTGCTCTTTTTTGATATTTTGTATAAGTAGAACCATGTTCTTTCGGGGTCACCAGATGTTGGACTTATTCAAGTTTCAATTCTACTTTTTTAATAATTGACAACAAACTGACATAACATAACTCACTATCAAAATACAGAGATACAGGGTGCCACACAGGTATCAATGTGACAATTGTGACCGAATTGTGACCAATGAAGATAGGGAATACATTTTGCGATTTAGCCGCATCAAGGTTGGTAGAACTGATGTTGATCATAAGTTCTAAGAATCACGCCATCTAACATTCGATATGTGAACCCCACGTCATCGTCTGAAATTCAATTGTTTATATCAAGAACCAGTCTGACGAAACAAATGAAGAGTGAGCGCACCAGAGGTTTATTTCATCAATTTTGGAATGAAATACATTTTTTCTACAAATGTCAAAAAATGACGAGGTTCGCTCATTGAAAAAAATGCTGTTTGCAACTCGTGCGTGAAATACTTTGGTCATCTCGACTATTTTTTTCACTCGGCTGCGCTTCGTTAAAAAAATCAGTTCTTGATCACCGAAGCGTTTCGTGCACTATACAAAAATGACTATTTTCTAATATTGACATGTAATTTGAAACTTTTTGTCATTATTGTTGGTTGCCCTCGCAAAATTGAGGAACAAGACAGAAATCCTGACTACGTCAATCCAAGAAAACTTCACTACTACGTTTTGAACCACCCTGTATGATTCAGGTATCGCATAAAATAATAGAGAGTTGAAGTGTTGTCATGAACGTTAACGTAAACGTAGAAATTGACAGCTACGCATGCGCACTTTCCAATTCTTCACGTTTGCGTTGTTAGTGGGCTTACGGGTGTACGTTATCTCACGTTCCTTCACGTATACCTTAAATATCAACGTACGTTAACCAAACGATAGGTACTCGAAATATGCCGATGAGTAAAAATTATCAAATTCGAGATCACCAACGAGCTCTGCATCAAGGAGTCTTCTAATTTTGACAGGAATAAATGTTCGAATCTAAACACACAACCAAAAATGACCAATACAAACCGAAAACAAAATGTATTATTACGTTATGATGACAGTGACGACCAAAGTGGCGACTTCAACTCAATTTAACGACAATACGTAAACGTTATTTTTCGTACGTTAACGTCTACGTGGAAGTCTACGTACAGTGATTACTTCAACTCTCTATTGTCATCACGAATTATCAACTTCCTCACCAAGTTTTACAATTCCAATCATTCGATGGATATGGATATCAGGACGGGTGCGGTTTCATGGAAACTTGAACATCTTGTGTATGATATATAGTCTGGTACAAGAAATGTAATCATCATGAATCGATGTTGATATAAGTATACAATGAAATGTCCAAAAATGAATTGATTTCAACGGTTCACTTTTTTGGAAATAATTGGAACATTTGCTATTTTTGTACCAACTCTGTAGTATCGTGAGTACTTGCGGATATCATTGAACTATATAGTGGATTTTCACCGGCCACATGGACGAACAGAAAGTAGTCGATTTGATTTTGGTATTCAAAAAGGAAACTTCACAATGGCCATTCGAAATTTTGAAAAAGTCAACTTCAGCACCCTGTATAATACAAACTATTGAATTAAGAGCGTTGATAATTGGGACATCTGATCAGCATCACGAGTTCTACGATATCCAAAATTCGAGAAAATTCACCGAAAGCCAATTTCCCCCCTATTGCGGTGCGGGGTCCTTTAGTCAATTCTTCATGGAAAAAATCCAAACATTACGTACCTATACATTCACAATACACATCACCGGTAAAGTAGATTTTCATAATAATTTTTGCTTGCATGCCATGCATAGATTGTTTATAGTATGATATTGACCTTTTCATGAATTACATCTTGATAATGAGTCAAAAATAATTTGATACATTGCGAAAAGGAGCTACGTGACATGGGTACATACCGATTTCACATATTACACATCAGTATCTGTCGCATTGGAATATTCACGTTATCTCCGGATTAAAGTGCGACCGACATAATTGAACGTCACCGAGTTTCTTGCGAAAAATCCAAAAATTCGCGGATTCCCTACGGATGCGCATTATCAATATTTACCTGTAGATAGATATACCGACTACCGATATGAATAGAGCGTGGAGTGGGCACATAATAGGTATCTAACGATTAAATGTAACTCGCTATAGCAGATGGAAATTATGGATGTAAGATACCACTAGACACTAGAGGTTTCATCAATTCAAGAACTTTTTTCGAGCTTATGGATATTTTGAAAATCATTCCGATTCGAAGACGCAGGAAAATATTTATGATCGCGAAAAAATCACCAAAAAATAATTTAACTTCGTGTGGTAGGTATTCGGTTGGAAAATTCACACCAGTTTGTGATTGAAAATTGAAAAATATTAGGATTTATTCATTTATTTGATTTTCATATAGGTGCATGAACAGTTTGGGTAGCATTTTTGGCACCAATAATAGATTCCTAGCTTAACTTATTCCTAATTTCTACCTATTGTAGTTGCATGAAAATACCATAGTTCAGAATGCATTGTATATATATGATATCCTGCTTCCAACTTCGGGTTACTACAAGTGGTAGAAAATTATAATTTTATCAATTAATTATTCATAGATATGGGTGGATACATATACTACATGTCACTTGTATTTCAGATACAGATAGAAATCGCGTCAAGTTATTACCTATATTTCAGAATAGTCAATTCAATTTCAGAAAGCGTAAATTGTATTTCAGAACAGGCATTTGTATTTCAGAAAGCGTAAATTGTATTTCAGAAAGCGTAAATTGTATTTCAGAATAGTCATTTGTATTTCAGAAAGCATCAATTGTATTTCAGAATAGTCAATTGAATTTAGGAAAGCGTCCATTGTATTTCAGAAAGCGTAAATTGTATTTCAGAATAGTCATTTGTATTTCAGAAAGCATCAATTGTATTTCAGAATAGTCAATTGAATTTAGGAAAGCGTCCATTGTATTTCAGAAAGCGTAAATTGTATTTCAGAACAGGCTTTTGTATTTCAGAACAGGCTTTTGTATTTCAGAAAGCGTAAATTGTATTTAATCATCAATTGTATTTCAGAATAGTCAATTGAATTTAGGAAAGCGTCCATTGTATTTCAGAAAGCGTAAATTGTATTTCATAATAGTCATTTGTATTTCAGAAAACGTAAATTGTATTTCAGAATAGTCAATTGAATTAAGGAAAGCGTCCATTGTATTTCAGATAGCGTCAATTGTATTTCAGAACAGTCATTTGTATTAGTGTTGCGTAGTTTATTACTCAGGGGACTTTTTTCCTCATGAATGAGGACGTCATCAAGGGGTAAAAGCAGATTCAATTCAATATTCTGAAATTCAATTGACGCTTTCTGAAATTGAATTGACGCTTTCTGAAATTGAATTGACGCTTTCTGAAATACAATTGGAAAAGGTGTAGTATATAGTAGTATAAGATAGTAGTAAAAGGGTAGGCTGTTGCACACATATCTACTTTTCCTTCTCATAATTCTCCTTTTTGAACCTTCTGATGAATAATTAAGGCCAGTATGTCCGTCTACCTTAGGTTAATTAGTTGAAGCGTATCAGCACCACAGATTCACTCAATAAAAATATTCATAATTATAACACGCGTGGCAAAAATGACATCTATGTTTCTAGCACTTCCTATCGTAGTACCATGAATTCACTATTTTACAAAGAATTTTTGGAGTTCAATAAATTGTTAGAGTCTGTGAAAGTCTGCTTCACTCATCCAGTTCAAAGCTAATTTGAAGGAATTCGTCCTAAATAAGTAGCTAAGTCAGGTCTTCATGGTGTATTCCATATGTCTATTTAGTATTTTTTTTTATGTTTATATTGCCGTTTATTGTTATTCTACTGTTTTTAATCTTATTATTCTACTGTCATCGTGAGTATTTCATAAAAGTTATTTTAACATTTCTGTTCTGCAATTGTTCAACTCAGTTTTCATCTCTGTATATGTGTATATATATTGTAATATGCCTTCTTATTCAATTATGTATATTAGGGTTCCTATAATTAAATAAAGATCTATCTATCTATCTTAGATCGTTTCGAAATTCCGAGTAGTTCCTAAAAAGCCAAAATTTGTCAAATTCATTTTTATTTTATTCTTTTCAAACTTTACAAAACAGCATTCAGATATTTTCCGTACGACGTTTCGTTTCGGAGAAACCATCATCAAGTATATTGTTTTATATGGCCAGTGCATCTCTCATGGTTTCCGAGATATACATGATAGACATCCTTATTTTGGACACGGTGTATATAGTCATAGATTAACGATAGTAGATGCAGTTTGGGCACCAATGGATTCTTAGCCTACTATTTATTGTTGACTTCTACTCATTGTAGTAGGTAGGGAAAAATTACTATTTCTGGACGTAAAAATATTAATCTGTCATTAAAACGTCAAAAAATTTCAGAACTAATTCGCTGGTGGGTACCCAAGAGGAAAAAAAAACTTCACTAAAATACATACGTTGCTATGGTGATTTGTAAAAAAAAACACAATTTGATTGATTAAAAATGACTGGCGTGGAATTTTCGCAGTTATTTATACAACAAGAATATGAAACGACTCTTTATTTATTCTGTACGCGTTAGATGTTTTTATAACGTACCGTAGAGGCTATATGAACATGTGTTTTTATACAATGTCTTTCATAAAGTTGACATATATCATTTATAATGGGAAACACTTTTAATAATAATTTCGTTTGATATTCGACTTGGGCGTTGAGTTTCCTTTGAAAAAGATGAAATAGTATATTACGCAGGGTCGGATCAAATGTCGACAGCGCCCTAGGCAAGCATCTCATCGGCGCCCCTCTGGTGGTCATAAGATATTATAAATCATAACTACTAATATACGTGTTCAGGGTGAAGAAAGTAAGAGGGGTAGTTATTGTGAATATCGGGAATTTCACGGGCCGCACCAACGTTTCCCGTTCCTCCAACGCACATTTTCGACGACGACGCGCCCTTTTGTAATCTCGCGCCCCTAGGCACGTGCCTAGTTTGCCTTATGGATAATACGGCACTGATATTACGTAACAAGAGTTGTGAGTAACTCATGAAATGTATGCACTTTTTATGCATTTCGTGCGTAATGGGCTTACAACACTCGTGTAACGTACTATACTTTTTCTACGCCCATTTATTTTCTTCCATTAAATAAGAGACATCGCAATAATTTTTACTTTATTATAATAGTTGTTAATAACAATTGAACAATTATTGTAAATCGATTGTGTCTTATTATTCAATGGTGATGACCGGTTATTTATAATTGTAGTACTGCTCGGTACATCAGGAGACGAAGATTGATAATTAGCGATAAAAAAATATGTGTGCCAGCTTGAGCTTTTTTTAAAATCTCCGGTGGAGTGCTCATAATTTCATCAATTTCACTACTATCAGACATATTCGTAGATAAAGTTGAGAACATGTTTGGATACAATTATATTTTGTTCAAGAAACTGACAATATAAATGAAATGACATTTATTTTCATAGCATGCTACAAGAAATTGCATAACGTGCTGTCTACATTTAGGGACATCACTCTTTCAATCCTAAATATATCTCGCTAATGCTAAAAGTTTTTATGTTTTTCAATTAACTAAATTTGTGTAAATAGACCAAAAGAAGTCTTACGTAAATAAAATTTTGATTGTGATTCAATTAAACCAAGAAGTTCAAGTTTTCTTCTCAAAACGCACGTGTATGTTATGAGATCTCATCACGTGCATGTGTCATTTACAAGTAATGTTGACAGTGCGATTTTTGACGTTTACAGACATGGGCGTAGAAAAAACGGCTTATTCCGCGGGGATCACGTGACTTCCCCTACATTTTTTCAAGTTATGTTAATCGCATAGAATAGGTTTATTATTTTTTCGAATTTCGAAAACGTTTACTAAGAAAAGTTGATTCTATTCCGATTGTGTTTCAAATTTGAACGTTCTATTGCAAATTTCAGTTTTTGATTGTTTTTAATTTTAACGAAATTTCTGTATATCTAAAATTATCCTAAACTTCTGTTAGATACGTGAAGTAATTTGATGACTTTGGCATCTTTTTAGTCCTGAAAAAATCCATTTAAATAAATGTCGCTCCTAAAATATGCTAGGGAAATTTGAAGTGGAATTATTATTTTCTAATTGAAATCACATTTTCATACAGCTAATATCTCATTTGGTATTCTGCTTCTGAAAAAAAATTAAAAATCACACTTTTGTCAAACCCATATACAGTGTGTGCGATTTCTCCCCGCAATACCCTTCTAATTTGGAACCCGTTGACCAATTTACAAAAACAAAAATTCCATAATATAGTACTCAACGAGCTCTATTCAAGAATGTGAACGAATTTGCGTTATTCAGATGTTGAAGGCCTACTTTTGTTTGTTGAAGTGGTCAAAATTTCAAGAACGACTATTATTAGGCAATTTTTTTCGAAACTGTGACTAGCTCATTCGATACAGGCATAGCTAAAAAACCTTCATACGAAATTTGAATGCGAAATCTCATATACAGTGTTGGTTATTCAGTGGCAAATTTTGATATATTTGATTTTTCGATTCACCCTGTATCAATATCTAAGGAGTTGATATAACCGGTGAAGTATCGTCATTCAATGGAGGAACACATCAAATACTCAGATACGAAGTTTTATATATAGTTATAACTTTTCGACAGGAAATATCTCTCTAGGTCAACCAAAACTTAATAAATTGGAAAATGATAAATTTTTTATTTTGATCAATTTGTATTTTGCTGAAAATATAAATAATGGTAACTAATCCGAGGGAATATTCTCTATTCAGAATAATTTCCATTGTCATCTCAAAGTTTTCATCCATTTCGCCAAAATCGGTATATTATTATGAAAACATTAGTTATCACTAAATCTCCTTGAGTCT